GGAGGTGCCTGGGTGGCTCTCACATGGTGACCATATTTCTACATGTAATAGAGTAATATTTCCCTCTACTCACCCATACGTGATAGTGAATGGTGATACCACCATGAATGTTGAACACAAAAGAGCACAGGCTTGAATGAAAGGAAGAATATAAAAAAGGATATAGGAGATTCTTCTCCCTTTTTTTCTCATTCTCATATATAGAATGGAAAATAAATCATTTCAGATATATCAATTTACACTAAAGGAGTCACGTGGGATGTGAATTTGGCCAATGCCTTTCATCAAAGGATTTCTAAGCGTCTCATAAGCATATTCAATAATCCTTTAAATGCTCTTGAAATATTATCATCACATTATAGTAAGAAGTAAATGGAAGCACTGACATAGTAAGTGATATTTTTATCTTCCATTCAGAAATTTCCTACTAGTTTACAGGCTAGTATTATTATCAACTTGATGAAGCTTAGTGAGATTATGTGATTTGCCCAAACTTAGGGGAGGAATTTGGCATACCATCAAGGCTCTCTGGGTCTTATCTGCTTTACTAAGTTTATCCCTCTCCCTACACATACACTCTTACTCTCAGCTCTGCTATTCAAAATGATATTTCATCTAGTGTTTTAAAGAGAAGCTCAAAAGCAAGTAATTTTGTGTTTTTGAGGTATCATTCCTGGTTCTTTATTAGAAATAAAATGAAAATTCATATTTTCTAGAGTAATTTCTTTAATATTGTCACCAATGTGAGTAATGTTGTATAATGAAACTCTCTGCTTGTTCTTTTGTGATAGAATCAGATAATCTTATTCAGGATACTACCATGTGACAAGTTAAATAAAACAGGGGAGGATAGTCTTAGTAATATGTCTAATCCTACAAACATAGTTACTTGCTACTTCTCTTTATATGAAATTGCCTGTCAAGTGTATTATCTTTCTTAAATGCTCAAGACCAAAATGCTGGTGAATCTAAACTTAATACACCTAAAAATGGAGCACACTAGTTAAATTATGGGCTTAGGTGTAAATGTGGGTTAGATTGGAAGTAAAAGTAAGTAACCTGTAGAGGTCATGAGAGGGGAAAGAAAGTAGATACAGTGGATAAGTGCCCGTTTATTTTTTATTTTATTTTTTTAATTGTAAAATATATATAAAAAAATTTACCATTTTTTCTTCTTGTAAAGTTTACTGTTTTAATCAGTAAGTGTACACTTTAGTCACATTAAATATATTTACATGTGCAACTAGCACCATCTATCTCAAAAACTTTTTCCATCTTGCAAAACTGAAACTTTTTACCCATTAAACAGTAACTCCCGGTTCACCCTTCCTCCCAACCCCTAGCAACCATGCTCTATTTTCTGTGTTCATGAATTTGACTACTGGAAGTACCTCATTTGAGTGGAATCATATCGTATTTGACCTTTTGTGATTGGCTTATTTTACTTAGTACAGTGTCTTTCAGGTTCATCTATGTTGCAGTATGTGTCAGAATTTCTTCCCTTTCTTTTTTTTATTTTTATTTTTTTTATTTATTTCTAGGAGAGAGAGAGAGAGACAGCGTGAGCAGGGGAGGGTCAGAGAGAGAGGGAGACACAGACTCTGAAATACGCTCCAGGCTCTGAGCTGGCAGTCAGCACAGAGCCCGACGCAGGGCTCGAACCCACGAACTGTGAGTTCATGACCTAAGCGAAAGTCGGATGCTTAACCGACTAAGCCACCCAGGCGCCCCTCTTCCCTTTCTAAGGCTGACTAATATTCCATCGTATATCTATACTACATTTTGTTTACTCATTCATCTGTTAATGGACACTTGCATTGCTTCCACATTTTGACTATCAGAAATAATACTGTTATGATCATGCATGGACAAATACCTGTTTGTGTCTCTGCTTTCAATTCCACTGGATATATACCCAGAAGTGGAATTGCTGAATTATATGGCAATTCTACATTTAATTTTTTGAGGAACTACCAGACTGTTTTCCACAGCAGCTGTACCATTTTACAGTCCTGCCAGCAGTGCACAAGCATTCCAGTTCTCCATAGCCTAGCCAACATTTTCTGGGTTTGTTCCTGAGTTTTTGATAGTAGACATCCTAATTGTTCTGAAATGGTATCTCATTGTGGTTCTGATTTGCATTTTCCTAATATTAGGGATGTTGAACATCTTTTCATGTTTATTGGCCAGTTGTATATCTTCTTTGGAGAAATGTCTGTTTGAGTCATTTGTCTTTTTTGAGGGTGTCCATTTTTTTAAGCCAACATAGTAATCACAAAAGCTGCTTATAACTTTACAGAAGTCCCAAAGATGTATCACTTTTAATTGCCATCTAATACTTTAGGAAAATATCCCATAAATCTAATCAATGTTTGTATGTTCTTCCTTTACAATATATAATTCAAGCATCTCTTCCTCTATGTTCCTATTAGCATCATCCTCTTACGCTTAATTTCATGTTTATGTTACAGTTGTTTGTGGATAAAAGAGTGGTTTTTTCAAAAGGTAAAAATATATAGTAAATGCTTAATTTAATAATATGTTTTGTCAGTGGGCCCAATTCAAATAGAATAGTAGAAATAGATTGTTATAAAATCCTTTAGTTAGGTTTGCTGTTTTTTACCTCTTCTTTAACTCCTCCCCCTCAGTTCAACAAAGATTTATTATGCACAGGACCTAAGATCTGAGTTTCTCCCCTTCAAACTGTGTGACAATGGGCATGTCACATCAGTTCTTCCTTATTGGATGAACTAAGTGATTTCATAGATTTCTTTTAGTCTTATCTATTAAATATTTTCATGATTCATGTAAATATTACCAGGTGTTGGTATAGATGCCTGAATTATATGAAAGCCATATCATCCACAATAAATTACGGTTTTAGATTTATTACGGAAAATATAAGTCTAACTTTTCTTGTTTGCCTCTTACATCAACGCTGAGACCTAAACTGGAAACTTTTAAGTCCAAACATTAGTTACTTTCTCTAAAAATTGATCATCAGTGTTAAAGCAATAATATTTTGAACAGTTAATATCAGGGTAGGGTTTGTTTCCTTCTAACTGGTAGTATTATACCTTATTACTTACAAACAAGGGGTAGATGGGGCACCTGCATGGCTCAGTTGGTTGGGCATCTGACTTTGGCTCAGGTCATGATCTCACAGCTCTGTGCTGACTGCCAGCTCAGAGCCTGGAGCCTGCTTCAGATTCTGTGTCTCCCTCTCTCTCTGACCCTCCCCTGCTCACGCTGTCTCTGTCTCTCAGAAATAAATAAAAAACATTAAAAAAAAAAAAGGGTAGTTAGCTAAAATTTAAATTAAAAAATTAAAAATAAAAGAATAAAAAATGCTGTGCTGTATATTTTAATTTTTGATTTCTACTTTTGAAATTTTATAAAATACTAGAACATGGGCACCTGGGTGGCTCAGTGGGTTAAGCATCTGACTTTGGCTCAGGTCATGATCTCATGCTTCGAAGGTTTGAGCCCTGCTTCAGGCTCTGCTGACAGCTCAGAGCCTGGAGCTTGCTTCAGATTCTATGTCTCCCTCTCTCTGCCCTTTCCCCACTTGGGAGTCTGTCTCTCTCAAAAATAAATAAACATTTTTAAAAAATTTAAATAAATTAAAATACTAAAATATGTCATACACCTGAATAGGATAGTATATATTCCATATCTATCTATATATCCATACACGCACACACTTTTTTGGATCATCTGCTATTCTTATTTGTTCATAGCTCTAGTCTCTTCCTGCTTCATGGAAAATTCACATTAAATTGATTTCAGGTGAACTTCTAAAAGATACAAGTAAATTTTCAAAGTGATTTAATTTCAAATAATGTTACATGATAAGCTAACAGATGTTATAGCAAAATTAAGTGATAGATTTAATTTTTGTATTTAATATTTGCTACTCCATAATTTTTGTAAATTGTCCATCTCTTCTATTTTTTTCTTGTTCATGTCACTTGTTTGAAAGTCAATAGAAAAAAAACTCAATAGTCACTTATTTAAGAATAGTCATTTTCTAAGATGTAAGACTTTTGTTTTTTATAATTTTAAATTTTACAATACAATCCTCTTTATTTTTTTTTGTTTATGCTCAAATTCTCTAATATTTTAGATAACATAATTTCTGTTTCTCAGGGATCAGAGTACTTTTAACCCTGCATTTGTCACTGGGAAAACTAGTTTTAATTTATATTGACCTTTTTCTCCTTTGAGCATTTAGTCTGCATTCAATAAAATGTTGATGACTGCTCTTTAGAAGACAGCTGTACGAAATAAAGTATTATAAATATTCAGCTTTCCTTTCTAAGCATTGTCACCAACAGCTGGGCATCCAGTTTAGCAGAACAGATTTTGCACAGAGAGAGCCTGGCATGTTCCTGAATCAGTTTAGTGAGGGAGACAAAAAATAGTTTCTTATGGATTGGGGACTTATAAAGACATAGAGCATCTGTTCCTCAGTTAAGTGATAGTCTGGTAGCACTGAATCATGTTTAAAACTAGAATAATGGGCAAAACTTTTTTCACCTTGTTCATACCTTTATTTTAATACCTAGTGCATTATTTCTGCAAATAATATACTTCCAACATCTCCATTAAGGGTGTATCAATTATTTTGTCCTTATGTATAATTTTTCAGTAGTGGTATTTTATTTATTTTTTTTTCACTAGTGGTATTTTAAAACAAATATATTAATTTTTACTAAGATTACTTCATAATATGACTTTAATGCTTGAACTGTACAATAGTACATGTATGTAAAACCATATGTAAAAATCAATTCAGATATTTCATTACAATTCCATATTGAAATATGCTATTAAAAAACCCAGTTTCATGGCCATGAAAATTGCTTTGCTTTCTTCATATAGTATTCTGCTTTAGTTGGCAAAAGTAACTCAGAATCTTTGTTTATATGTATTACTCTTAAGTATTTGGCTACTTAAAGCATATAAATCTAAGATTTCTTTAAATATTCTATTTGCAGTGTTAAGAGATCACTGAAATTGGATCATCTCTTAGAAGCAAAAGTAAGTATTTATCTGTGAGTTGTAATTGCATAACAAGAATGTATTTTTAATTTTTTAACAGCAAATTTACCTTAATAGAAAATTTTTCAAAAAAGCATTGTGACATAATTGGGGCTGGTATACCATTTTCTATGTAAAATATTTTTTGTAAATCTAACATATTGAAGTTCCTGGCCAGATTAGGATTTTAATTTAAGAGGAAAGTTATTTAGAAATCTTGATGAAATAATTTAGTAGAAGTTAATTCACTGTTTGTGGGGCAAAAAATATCCTGCCTTTTATGTGCACAGGAAACAATATGGAACAACGGCAGTGCTTTAATCTGCATTCTATAATCTGCTAAATTGAAATAAAAACATTAACAGCATTTTTATATCAAAAATGTAATTACCTCCCTCAGCTATGGTAGCATAATTAAACAATAAAATACTAACACTGTAATAAATTTCACCATGGTTGTCACAATAAAAATAAAATTGTACTGTTGCTATTACTTTTTGTAAATCTAGTCATAGTACATTCCCAATGCCAGCATATCATGACATATGTTGGTTTATTATCATTTCATACCAACTATGGAGCTAGATACAAATGCTAATACTGAGATACTTATGGCCTCAGTAATCTTAAATGCAAGTAAATTGATGAAAAAGTAAATTAAAACAAATAGCTAGTCAATACATGGCGTTCCTACAAAATCCCGTATGAGAGTGCCATTTTAAGAAATGGATGTTATATGGAATTTCTCTTTGGAAGATTCACTGATATTTAACAATTTACCATTTTTAAAACTTCCTAGATGCTTTTTTAAAAAATTTAAACAAAAGTGGCAATATAATGCAATGCCACTAAAAAAATCATTAGCAGTGTAATTAGCAATTTAGAGTACGATTATCCAACTTGTTCTGTACAGAATGCAGCTGTGACTGTAATTCTGCATCTGTTTCTTTGGTCAGAATGGTATTTTGGTAGACAAGTAGTCCAACTTGAGATGAAATACTGTTCTTTCCTGCTCCCAAACCATTCTTTGGGAGATAATAATATTATTTGAATAGCAAATAATAGCCATTTAGGAATTCATTCTTTTTATGAAGTACAGTTGTCGTTATGGCAGACTTTCTATCCATTTTTACGTTAGATTAGGATGTGTCCAGGTAGCCAGCACCACAGCTAATATCCTGTATTAGAAAAATACATTGTTATGTTTGGCCCAATTCTATACCTTTAAACCAAAGGGACTTAGCTAGCTTGACTTAGCTTGGTATTACATGGCCACCACCTGCTAAACACAGGTTCCTAGCATCTAGTTTGGGCCTTTCTTCAACATTTCTCTTCTATTTTCTGACCTATTTCTGGTAATTTCTGCATTTGTACTCTTGGCTCATTATTTGCAGCTCTATGTTCACATGTTAGAACGGACATCTTTTGCTCTGGTGCTAAGTCTAGGATTTTCTCTTTAGCTGCATTTATGCTTCCATCCACTCCAGTAACAACTTCGCCCTAAAGCAGCCTGGCTCTACGAATCTACTCACGTGTCAGTGATCCTACTGAGGCTGCCTTTGCCCATGCAAAGGAAAATCAGACATTTCAGACTTACACCTATAATTCTAAGAGTACCTAATTGCTATAAAACTACAGAGGAACTAGTAGTAACTTTATGGTCATTTTGCCTTACCAATATGATACTGAAGGAAGAAGACTCTGATATCCACAGAAAGGAGATGACTTTTATATACCAGTTGCTTAAAGTGGAGCCTATTCATTCTAATCTACTGCTATTTCCTCTCTCAGAGATGTTTGAATTCACAAATTCCATTGTTTCCAAAGCAACTATAGCCCTTTATGGAGACTAATGCTCCACGATGTTAGGATGAGTCTGCAAAAGTTATTTTCCTTTTGAGTCTCCTAATGGGGAAATCAGAGGTATGAATCATCCCCTGTGACCTTCCTTTAAAATCTAGAATGTATACTGAAAGTACCATTATTTACTGGACTTCTCAAATTGTTGAGGATTAGTGAGGAGTAAAGAAGGTTCTAGTTTATCATCACCTACAATATTTGAGTTGCTCAAGTTATTGCCCGCCTAGCACTCTTTCTATATATATTTTCAGAAATAAAGATGAATTAGTTATTACAACCTGCTGCCAATCACAGTTCAGATGAATTTATAGGGATAACTGGCCCCCTGATCATATACCTAGTCTGATTCAGGCCACCTCTGAGGAGGACTGGAAGAAACAGGCTTGCTGCTAGAAGGAATGACAGTGCAAGTTTGGGGGGACGTTTGTTAATTTAGAAACGGATGCCCAGGCTGGATTACTCCATTACTATTGGTGGGACACTTCTAAGTCTCATTATTCCGAGCACCTAAACTTGTCTTATCTCTCTGAGACAAGGCTTCTGCTGACTCCTGGAATTAGATAGAACTTTGAATTTCAGGGCCGTTGGAGATTGTATAGCTCACCTTCTATAGTCTTACTTACTGATCTGGCTCAAATCTACTTTCTTCTCTCCCTCCTCCCTCTCTCCCCTTCTTTCTTCCTTCCCTTTTTATTATAGAACTTTTCAAACATAAACAAAATAGAATAATGTAATGAACTTCCATCTTCAACAATTATTAACATTTTGCTAATTTTGCTTCATCTATTTATATATGTATACGTACCTATGTGTGTACCTGTGTAACCTATGTACCTGTATGTATCTGTATATTTTTTCCTAGAATGTTTTACAAGTTCCAGACATATCATTTCATCAGAATATTCTTCAATATGCGTTTCTAACATAATGACTTTTTTCATAAACCACAGTGCCATTATTATACCTTACAAAATTAAGGAATAACAGTAATTCCTTAATAATATCTTTTACCCAGTCAATATTCACATTTCCATATGGATCCAGGGGCGCCTGGATGACTCAGTTGGTTAAGCGTCCGACTTTGGCTCAGGTCATGACCTCGCGGTTCTTGGGTTCGAGCCTCGTGTCAGGCTCTGTGCTGACAGCTAGCTCAGAGCCTGGATACTGTTTCAGATTCTGTCTCCCTCTCTCACTGACCCTCCCCCACTCACTCTGTCTCTCTCTCTCTCTCTCCCTCAGATATAAATAATAAAAAATATATTAAAATTAATATTTTAATATTTTAAAATTGTGGAACAATAATGAACACAAATAGAAACACTGATGTATCAACTTTTTTAGCCAATGTTTTATTTTTCCTCTTAAAATTTTTTTAAGTCTATTTATTTTGAGAGAGGCAGTGTGAGTGGGGGAGGAGCAGAGAGAGAGAAGAGAGACAGAGACAGAGAATCCCAAGTAGGCTCCACCCTGCCAACACAGAGTCCAATATGGAACTCGAACCCAAAAGGCCATGAGATCATGACCTGAGCAGAAACCAAAAGTCGGATACTTTACTGACTCAGCTACCCAGGCACCCCTCCTATTAAAATATTTTCATCAAGTGGTTTATCTATACCATGGAATACTACATGGCACTGAGAAACAATGAAATCTGGCCATGTGTAGCTACATGGATGGACCTTGAGGGTGTTATGCTGAGCGAAATAAGTCAGGCAGAGAAGGACAAAAACCATATGTTTGCACGTATAGGAGGATTAGGAGGAACTTGACGGAGGAACAAGGGGGAGAAAAAGGGGGGAAATGGTGGGGGAAAGGGAGAGAGGCAAACCATGAGAGACTCTTGAATGCTGACAAAAACTGAGGACTGATGGATGTGGGGGGGAGGAGGGGATGGGCATGGAGGAGGGCACTTTGGGGATGAGCACTGAGTGTTATGTAGAAACTAATTTGACAATAAACTATTTGTAAAAAAAAAATAAAATATTTTCATCAAAATAAAATTTATATATTGTGCAATCTGCATATCTTAAGTGGACAACCCAGTGAGTTTTAACAAATGTATATACCCCTGTATATCAAACACTCAATCAAGAAATGGAATGTTTCCATCACCACAGTTCTAATATATTGGTTATATTCTTTCTCCGCTACCCCGGTAAGATCACAGAGATTAATGCCAAATGCTTTTGTTTCCATAACTACTATTATAAATAACAACAAAACACCAACTTTATTAGAACCATTAAGGATGATAATTGTAGCAGCTGATAAGAAGTTAGTTGATCTCTGGGACTGTTCTAGGAACTGTGGGCCCAAATTGCAAAAAGTCCCTGAGAGAGCTAAAGTTTAGAGTGTTTTAATATAAATTCCATAATAGTGCTAGTAATGCATAATAATGTCTTAGGTGAGACATTCCCATGACCTTATTAACCAGTGTAAGGTTATAAAGAATTAATACCTTTTAGTTGTCCTAATTTTTCTTTTGTTTCTGGTTGCCCACATACCTACAGTACCTGAGTTTTAAATATTTCACTGATAGTATAGGCCTCGTAGTTCATAATAATGATAGCAGATCCTTTCCATCATATTTCATCCTTAAAGAACCCTTAGTTAGTACTTTCTAGATGGTTTATAATAGGTGAAAATCAATGGAATACAGGCACCTTTTTGGTAGACTATGCTTTAAACAAAGTTACAAAGCAAGTTACAATTTGTGAAAGATATTGAAGAAGATTGTCATACTTATTTGAAATTATGAAGTGAACATTCACTTTTTTTGGACAGAAAAATCAATGCCTAAATTTTAGTTTTGCTAACATACAAGGTTTGATCTCTTTACAAAATGTGCCGTGGTGTTTGGGCTGATCATAGAATCTTTTTTCTTAACAATGGCATTAAATATCTCTAAGGAGTCACTAAATATTACAAGCAGTTATAAATTATTATAGAATTGTGACTTATTTATATCTCTTTCCTTAATTTTATTCACATCCTGAATTCTTTCTCTTCTCTAGCTAAATCTAGCCTTCTCACTTTTTCTTTCTTTGTTTTCTATAGGATCTAGTAGCTAGTCCTCCTTATTGCTGAGTGGAAAGAATACCAGACTTCTCATTTAGTAGCTCAGTCTTCCCTGAAATCCCAACCTTCTTAATTGTTCCTGATGTGGATTAGATGGGTCCTAGGAGCATTTTAAAGCATCTTCAGGGTTTTAAAGTTAGAGGACCTTGATAAAACTTTGAGAGGAAAATAATCTTAGAGAAGTAAGATTATGCCTTTGTGCATATCAATTGTCAGTTATATAAAAATGTATCATTTACTGAAGAATATTTAGTGGCATAATAGGGGACAATAGATTTTCATTTTTCCCTCTTTCTATAGTAATAGTAGACAGACATTTTCCCTCTTAACCAATATAGATGGCCAAAAAAAGAAAGCAGAAGAGAAGCCTCAGTATTTTTTAAAGAGAGGGGGAAAAATACACACACACGCACGCACGAACACACACAGACTAGTTTTATGAAAGCTAGAAAATGGTTTTCAAGGAGAAATGTATGATCTATAGTTGTAATGTTTGGATATTTGGCAATTGGAAAAAATAATTTTTGGTAAAATAGGAAAACAGATAGACATAAATGCACATTAGGGTAGTGACTTTCATTTCTTGTACATACACAGTGAAATAGTTCTGGGCAATAAATTCTTGGAAAGGTAGGGTAGGATTGGATAAATGTCATAGTTTATGACTGAATACATATAAACAGGTGAAAACTCAAGGTAGAGCAGTAATAATAACCACCGATAAAGAGACTTAAAACCTTTTCACCTTACAGAAAAGATTGCTTTAGAGTCATAACTTGATATTATAGTTTGCTTTTTTAAAAAGATATTGGTTACATTTGTGGCAACTATGGATGTATAAAGTAAAGAATGGAATGTCTTTTGTTCCCCCAATACAAAAAAAAAGTATAGACTCTGGAACTAATATGAAGATCATTGAAAAAAGTGATACAGCTACTATTTCTGCCATGGTGTCTTAGAAATAAAAAATAGTTGACAATGAAGAATTATATAACTATTTCAGGTCAGCTACCAAACGAAAGTTTAATTCTACAGTGTTGGCAACATCATAAGCCTTTAGGCCTTTTTTTAGCCCCCAAATCCAGTCTATGTCATCTGTATCACGTTTAGATTTCAGGGTTTTCATACCTTTATTTTCACTTATCTAAACTTCACCTTTCCTCCTCACAAGAATCCTTCTTCTGTAAGAATACTGCAGTCCACCTTGATTTTCCCTTTCGTGTCAATTTTTGTTAACACTCATTCTACTGTTAAGACCTCTTCTCTGCTGTTTGTTCAGAGAACAATTTGTTCTTTCTTTGTACACATTAGTTAGTAAGTGCTGGGTAATGAGTAAGCATTACAGAAAACAATTTAAAAGGAATTCAGAAGAACAAGCAGTTAATAGTGTGATAATGAGTGTTAGGAGAAAGTGGATCATAAATGAGGAACTACACCACAGAAAGACTAGATCCTGGAGAAGATAAGACAGAGGACATTCCAGCCTAGATCACAGAATGAACTGAGGCCCAAATGTGCATAGTCTAAGTGACTGAGACTACAGGTGTCATTTCATATTAGATGAGAATGAATGAACAAGTGACCTGGACAAAGTTACTGGACTGTTCCTTTTACATCATTCATTCATCACACATTGTTTAGTTTTAGAGTACAGAGATGAAGAAATGACATTTATTTTCAGGAACTCAAATTCTAATGGGGCAGACAGAAATGTAAAAAATTACTAAAATTTACTATCTCCAGGGGCACCTGAGTGGCTTAGTCAGTTTGTGGTAGAGCCCCTCCCTAAGAAATGTGGAAACCTCAAGACAGGAGACGACAACCGGGCTCTGTGTCCTTGCACGATGTTCCTCACGACTTGTAACATGGACCACCCAATCAGACTGTATGTTACCCTATATGGAAGACAAAGGAAAAAAAATTGTACAAAAGGCAACCTTCTCTTCCTTCCCCCCGCCCCCTTACGCACTAGGGGCTCAGCCTTTAGGGGGCTTACCCTGCTGAGCCTGTACTGGCACAAATAAAGCTGTTCCTGGAAAGAAAAAGCCTCAGTGTCCCAACACTCTGTGTGTGACTGGCAGCTACAAGTTGGCAGCTACAAGTTAAGCACCGAACCCTTTTTTTTATATAAGGATTATTTTAGGCTGGCAATTTTTTTTTTAAGTTTATTTATTTAGAGAGAAAGCGTGAGGGGCAGAGAGAGAGGGAGAGAGACTACCAAGCAGGCCCTATGCTGTCAGCACAAAGCCCGACCTGGGACTTGATCTCAGAAACGATGAGATCATGACCTGAGCCAAAATCAAGAGTCAGATACTTAACTGACTGAGCCACCCAGGCACCCCCAAGCACTCAACTCTTGATTTTGCCTCAGGTCATGATCTCAGGATCATGAAATTGAATCCTGCATCAGGCTCCATGCCCAGCATGCTTAAGAGTGTCTCTCCCTTTTCCTCTGCCCCTTCCCTCCACCCACCCCACACTCACACCTGTGCTCTCTCTCTCAAAAATAAAACAAAAAATAAATAAAATATACTATCTCCAATAAGAGGTACATGCAAGGCATATGGGAACACAGAGGAGAAAGCTACAGAGAGGATTTATACATTATAGACCAAATTCTCAAGGGACTTAAATGCCATCAATTGTTTTAACATTATTTTGGTTATCCTTATGACAAGTCACTGTGTCAGATCAACTGTGTGAGGTGTTTTTTTTTTTTTAATTTTTTTAATGTTTTATTTCTGAGAGAGAGAGGCAGCATGAGCAGGGGAAGGTCAGAGAGAGAGGGAGACACAGAATCTGAAACAGGCTCCAGGCTTTGAGCTAGCTGTCAGCACAGAGCCTGACACGGGGCTCGAACCCACGAACTGTGAGATCATGACCTGAGCTGAAGGCAGAAGCTTAGCCGACTGAGCCACCCAGGCGCCCCCAACTGTGTGAGGTTTAAGACAGAACTTACCCTTCTCAGGACTTCTTGTGGGTTTTCCTAAGAGAAACTTCTAAGAGTTTCCCTTGCCTAGCCCCATAATTATACTTCAGGTCTAGCAGACAGCAGAAGTCAGGATATAATTGGTGAGTCAGTCATCTCTAAACTGTTTGGAAATACCACCTCAGATGGTAGTAAACCTTTAATATTAAAATTTCATAAATATCAAATTGAGATACCCTAATTAGTGCGGAGATCTGAAATAGCTACAAAACCTGAAAAAATAGTGTTCACTTTGGAGGTGATAATGAAGTATATTTAAAGTCTGAAAAGAAAGAACAAGGAAAATAATACTGGTTTGAAATTTGCACATTTTAAAAAGCATTCTCAAACGTAAGTATTTTTGTCTCAATATTTATTTTCAGTCATTTGATTCTTCAAAAACCACAAGGAAGAAAAGTATTACAACTTACTCTCCAACAACGGGAACTTGTCAGATGAGCCCATTTGCCTCTCCTGCAAGCTTTAAAGAACAAGAGCACAAAAGTGAACCATCAGATGGTTAGTTGAACATTCTTTTCCATTTATTGTAATACTTTTCTACTTATTGGTTAAATCAGAATTTTTATTTAATAATATATGGATCTTGCTGCAGCTGAGTTTTCTTTTTTTCTTAAAAAATTCATAAAGAAGGCTAGAATATAGGTTCTACTTTGGACATAAATGTAAACTTTCTAGGCACTTATTTTAAAATGCTACTGCAGACTTTGTTCCCTTACTATCCCATCCATTAAATAGAAATTATGGTCTGACTGCCTTCAGCTACTATCAATTATAGTGGTTACAGATACACCCCTTAACAAGCTATCCATCATGTGCATAAATTAAAGGGCATATAATTCAGGTACTGCTGCACTACAGTTTAAAAGAGATACCTCTAAATGTTATTTTTATTCATGTTGTCCATTTAGTTTTATCCACATTTCGTTTCTCTTTTTATATAGCTTGCTTTTATTTATTATATTTCATTCCCTTCTTTTCCTTTACTATTTTAAATGGATTTGCAGAAAATTTGTAGAGTTTGCCACTAGAGGATAGCCTAATTTTACTATGAAATTGTTTATTTTGAAATATTGTTAATTTTGGCCATGCATATTTCTTGTTCCCTGGTAGTTTATTGCTAAAATATTTTTTAAAGATATATGAATCTAGATTTCATAGGTTTAATTTTTAATATTACAAAAAGTCATGAATCAGTAACATGTCAAGTTTCTGTAATATAAAATTCTAAGTAGGCTCAAATTTAATAAAATATATTTTAGATGTGCTGTGATTAGCCTAATTCATATTTTATTGTTTAACATTTATTGAGTGCTAAGAATATACTAGAAGCCACACAGAAACAAAGAAATCTCATTTTACCCAATTTGTTGTAATGAAACCTATAATAAGATCTTAAACTTTTGAATGACTTTTATTTTACTTTAATCAAATGCTTTTTATCTTAAAGCTATTACTATTAGGTTTGCTTTCACAAAAATGTATGAAGATGTATACATTTTCTTCAAGCTCTACCTGTTTTTAATACACTTGATATATCTTTTGTTTAAAATTTAAAATTAGTGCCTTAAAGATGGCACATCACTATACTGAAATGTGAATAGATTTTAAGTGGATATCTACTGCATCTCCATATTGAAATTAAATATGGACTTAAGGGAACATTCCTTCTGCCTATAAAAAGACTGGTCACATGATCCCAGTTGACATTTAAGTGGATAATTATCACAGATTATAGTACTAAGTAAGCTCTTTTTTAAAAAGTCATATAGCAAGGGTTCCTGCGGTGCTGGTAATATTCTATTTCTTAACTTATATAGTGGTTACATTGGTTCATTAAACTGTACATATGTTTTATATACTCATATATATATCTCACATACAAAAGTCTCAAAATAGGAGAATTCTCTAGGATCTTATATCACATTATGTCATTTGTAATCATTACATTGCTTGTCCTGATGTGTCATCTTATACACATTTTAGAAATAAGAAAGCCTGACTTTTATGAAGTAATTTAAGTTCCAAATGATCCCATAACTTCCATTAACAATTCTCAGTTTTTAAATATATGCAAAACATAAGGTGCAACTTAAATAAGCTCTTTTATTTAAATAGCATTTTCAAGGGTGTTTTAGGTGCAATTACTTCCCATCACACTTAGGATATAATTCAAAACCTTATCATGACTTTTAAGGCCATACATCATCTAATACCTCACCACCTCGTCTATCTCATTTTCTACTATTCTTACCATGTTTACACTTCTTTAACCACTCTTACTCTCTTGCTATTCGTCAATCGTGCAAACCTCTTCCTGCCACGAGGTCATTGCATTTGCAGGTGTCTCAGCCTGAAATACTCTTCCTCCTGGGATACTCTTCCTTTATGTATTTCTTTTCTTTTCTTTTTTAAGTTTATTTACTTTGAGAGGGAGAGAAAGTGCAAGAAGGAAAGGGGCAGAAACAGAGACAGAATCCCAAGCAGTCTCTGTGCTGTCAGTGTGGAGCCCAGTGTGGGGCTTGAACTCACAAATCATGAGATCATGGCCTGAGCCAGGTTCAAGTCAGATGCCTAACCATCTGAGCCACCCAAGCACCCCTTACTCTCTGTACTTTCTATATACATTTGAACTATGTACTATATGAACAGTTGACTTAATATGAAATTTAAATCTATCTGTACTTATAAAAGAAAGAAAAATCTGTTTCTAATTCTTTCCTCTATGTAGACTCTATACGTGGGCCAAAAATAGGGTGAGTGATCCTACCCATATTTAAGATACGTATATTTATTTACTTATCATTGTATATATTTCTCATTGTTATATATGTTTATTTGTGTGTCATTATATTGCTGCCCTCCCCTACCCCTTAGCAAATTTCTCCAAACTATTATGCTTTCGGTGAAGAGGAAGGATGCACCAGACTTATTATTTAATAATAATTGAGTGAAAAGATAAACAACAAATTTGCATGGTCAAAGAGAGTACTTGTGAATTAGACAGTAGATCTGTGGAAATCAGACTGTAGCAGCACAGAGAGGTAAAGAAATGGAGAATATGATAAAATGATTTTAAAAATGATGAATAAAATAAGAAACTCCAACATATCTCAAATAGGAGGTTCATAAAGAGGAAATATGAAGAATGGGGCTGAGGCAGTCTTCTAAAATAAAAGACCAACAGGGTTTTGTTTTGTTTTGTTTTTTTACAATTTCAATTTCACAATTAAAGAAAGATGAGAATTTCCAGGTTAGAATAGCATGCTTAGTTTGAGCACGATGAATTAAAACAAATCCGCACCTAGTCATATCATGGTAAAACTACAGAACATCAAAGACAAAGAGAAGCTTTTAAAGGCCACCAGAGAAAAGACATCTGACCTACAAGGGAATGACAGACTAATGGTAGACTTTTCATCTATAGCAATAGACTCTAGCAGGAAGTGGAATGATACCAACTAAAAATCACAGCTGAATTTTTTTATTCAGGAAGTGAGGATGAAATAAAGAATTTTTCAAAGTTGGAAAGAACTTATCATTCACATACTCCCTGAAAGGACTACTAAAACATGTACTTGCATAAGCAAGCTGAGCCCCCAGTAAAGGAGTGGACTGCAAAGAACAGTGGTGAAAAAATAAATTAGCAAACCTATTGGTAAATCTAATTATACAAATGTGACGACAAGTTTCGCTGACCATAAAGCAAAAGACAATTTGATAGATGGAGTCAAAAACAAATAGACTGTGATGGCATGGAATATTGATGAGGGAGCAGGAAGAAGCTAAAGTGTTTAAAGATTCTTGTAATTTTTAGGGAGCAGATAGAATATCTGTTAATTGGGATTAAAATTGTGTTTTTATTTACTTGCCTTTAAAATGAGGAAAATAATAATATCTACCCCAGGATTGTTGTGAGAATTAAATAGATTAATATACAAAAAACACTTAGAACAGTACCTGCCATGTATTTAAATTTTCAGTACATATTTTAGCTCTTTTTATTAATATTATTATTTAGGTTTTAAGAAAAGACATAGGATGATTAAGAGAACAAAGCAAACATTAGCTTTAAAAAAGTTATATTTGGTATAAGAATATTAACATAGACCAAAATAGATTTTAAGGCAAAAAAGTGTTATTAAAGATAATAGAAATCTTTACATAGTGGGAAAAGGAAAGCGTCACTACCAGAAAAAAAAATCCTGGAACTATGTACATCTAAAACAAAAACTCAAACAAAACATAACAAAATAGGACAGGATTATAAGGAGAGACCCACAAATCCCAAATCATAGTAGATTTTAAACTGCCTCTTTCAAGGGCACCTGGATGGCTCAGTTGATTAAGTGTCTCTTATTTTCAGTTCAGGTCATGATCTCATGATTCCTGGATTTGAGCTCCACATGGGCTCCACACTGAGAGAGTGGAGCCGGCTTGGGATTCTGTCTCTCCCTCTCTCTCTGCCTCCCCCCCTTCTCTCTCTGTCTCTCTCTCAAAATAAATAAACTTAAAAAAATACTTTAAGAAACTGATGAAAGATATAAAAACTTAGGACAGATATAAACAATTTCAACACAGCTAGCAAGCGTGATTTAACAAGCTGTGGTCAAACAAGTATAATACTTCACACGTGATAAAGCAGGATGTAGAACTTTTACAAAAATATAGCCAGTTTGAAGACACCTAGGTGGCTTATTCGGTTGGGTGTCCAACTCTTGATTTTGGCTTGGGTCATGAGATTGAGCCCCAAGTTGGGCTCCACACTCAGCACGGAGCCTGTATATGATTCTCTCTCTGCCCCTCCCCCCCTCTAAAAAAAATATAACCAGTTGGGAATCACAAAGAAGTCTCAACATACTAAAAATTGCTGTCAAATTCTCTGACCAAAATTGCAATTAGGAATCAATAATAAAAAGTCAGTCCTCTAAAAATTTTAGCCCACTGTTTGGAAACCTAGAAACTTCTAAATAATTCATTGTTCAGAAAAATCATAATGAAAAGTATAAAATATTTAAAATGGAATGACAATGAAACCAGGAAACTTACAGGAAAAATTTACACCTAAATACTGCATTATACTAAAACAGTTCTTAGTGGAAATTTTATATTTATAAATGCATATATTTAGACAGGAAGAATTATTGAAAACCCAGAAGCATTCAACTCCAAAAGATGGAAAAAAAATAGAAAGAACCCCCCAAAATATAAGAAAGAAAATAGTAAAAGATAAAAAGAGAAAGTACTAAATAGAAAACAAGACAATAAGAAAAGCAACAAAATCAAAAGCATGTTCTTTGAAAAGACTAATCAAATGGTAGATTTCTGGCAAGACTGATTTCTTTTTAAGTGGGAGAAGGAACAGACAATATGTATTTCAAAGGAGCTGATAAATTACTATCAATTTAAATATATGATGAGCAGTTTGAAATATATGAGCCAAATGCTTCTTAATGTGGCCTACAATCTAATTTGGGTGAAAGTTTTTAAAACTTACCATTCTGCTTCTCAAATATTAATGTTTTAGTAGCTAAAAAGCAATTCTGATTTTCTCATTGATACCTTTCTTTTCAATAATATATGACATATTTTAAGAATATTACATTTCCATACATGGGACCCAATATAAGTATTTTGAATTTTTAAAAAAGGAACCATTAACATTGTTATTTTTCATGAATTGATCCTCTGAAGAGGTTCTTCATTCTCCACTCTTGTTTAATGAGACTAATGTTGTTAACTAAAAGAATAACATGATCTCATTTGCCTCTTAGCCTACAGGCTCTAACTTGATCTGGCAATAACTCTTTTAGAAAAAAATTACTAACTAGCGTGTAACACCTTAGACAAATCACTTGAACCTCTCTGGGTCAAGGTTTTCCTCAACTCATAACTTTTGGTTTGGGACCAAACGATGCCTAAGATGTATGCCAACTATGAAGTCTATATATCCGGAAACAGTATGATATCAACCTAAACCTGTTTAAATAAGCATAGCATCCTGGTTAAGAAAACAATCTTTGTAACCAGGTGACTGAGTTTAGATCCAAACTGTGCCACTTACTAGCTTTAGGGCCTTGGATAAGTTATATAGCCATTCTTTGCCTCTGTTTCCTCATCTGTAAAATGGGACTAAGAGTGACCAATTCAGTTTTACAGATTAGTTAGTTTATATATGTAACATTTAAAACGGGGCCTGGCCCTAAAAATACTATGTAAGTATTAGCCATTATCATTAATGTTATTGATTATATTTCTAAACCTTCTGATCTGTTGAAAATTATCTTCACTGGTTAGAGATAGGGATCCTTGAACCTTACCAGAAAGTCTAAATACAGTTTTGAATATAGTCCATATTCAGTGATGGTACATTTTTTTCAGTGTACTGTGAAACTCCTTTAAAGGGAGCCGCATACACAACTGTATGTTAATGTATAACCTAGTAAGAAAAAGACCATCTAGAACCTGTGGCTTTTTAGCATATGTTCATTGCTAATAGAATGAAATGAAATCAAAAAAGTGATTATTAAGTAACTGGAATATTCTCTTTTTTTTTTTAACTTTTTTTAATATTTATTTTGAGAGAGAGAAAGAGACAGAGCATTAGTAGGGGAGGGGCAGAGAGAGAGGGAGACACAGAATGTGAAGCAGGCTCCAGGCTCTGAGCTGTCAGCACAGAGCCCGATGTGGAACTCCAACTCACAAACCATGAGATCTTGACCTGAGTCTATGTCAAATGCCCAACCAACTGAGCCACCCTGACACCCCTGGAATACTCTTAATGATATATTAGAGTCTAAACAATCTGATAACTGATCCAACTGTTATGCTTAGAGATATTAAAACTCCTCCTATTTAACAATTGGAAAGTATATTAGAAACCTAAGTCCTTCCATGAGAAGATGGAGATTAATGCTATTGATTGCATTTTATAGGATAAGATATCTAACTAATCCGCTTACAATAATGAAAATGTTTCAGCAGGCATTGAACACGTGGTGAAAATTCAAATAAGGCATTCTTTTATTATTTCTTACCTAACTGTATTGACTGATGGTACTAAAATATGAAAATTAATTACATGTTAAAGAAACAAACTAATTTTAATATTTAATTTTGGAGCTTTATTGAATGCAGACAGCATAGTACAAAATTCAGGAAATTAGTATTTACCTTTAGGAAAAGATACCCTAAAATACAGGTTTAATGTGTATCCTAGAATTTTATTTGTAGTTTTCTAGAAAACAGATACATTTTTAGCTTGATTTTTTTTAAAAGAGAGATGGATTTTAATAGACTTTTTCCTCAAAGTTCTCTAAAATCATAAATAAAATATTGTTACTGTTTTTCCCTTTAATCCTTACTAACTTAGTAAATCTTACTGTTTGGAATTTAAGGATATAGACAAGTCAAATAATGAAAATAAACAAGAGAGATAACTAGTACTTTAGCACAACTTCTGAATCACAAGTTTTTCTCTTTTCTGAATTTTAAAGACTATTTTGAGATCATTAATTATATAAATTTTTTGAGAGAAGTCACAGATCCAAAGTAACTTTGAGGGAAATTATTGTTCATTAGCTTCTGAACCAATTTAGTGAAGTTATAAATACCAGAGAATAGAAAATATACTTTAAACAAGCTTTTCCTCTACTGGTAGGAGCAAGTAAGAGTAATGAAATAAAAATTAAGTGAAGAAAAAAGAGTAAATGAGCATTGGAATGTCTGTTCCAGACTGTATTAATACGTTAATAAATTACATTTGAAAATTTAAAGAAAGTGCCCTTGTGTTATCTGTGTATTAGGTTTCATCTGGAAGTATTGGATCCTCCTACTGTATTACACAGAGCTATATTGTCCAATACATGTAGGTATAGAGCATTTAGAAGGTAGCTCAGCAGAATTGAGATGCGCTATAATAAGTGTAAAATACACACTTTACGTATTTTTATGTAAAGTAAAATATCCAAGACAGTGTGAAAAAGAGAATATGAATGATCTCATTAATAATCTTATATTATTGTGTAAAAATTATAGTATATTGGGTTAAATGAAATATTAAAGTTTATTTCACTATTTTTTTCCTCTGTAAAGAATTTTGCTAGTAGAAGAGTTTGAATTACATAAGTGGGTCACATTATATTTCTACTGGAGAATGTGAGCTAGGTTTTCATGGTACATTGTATCAAACAATTTTTTTAGAAAAATAATGAGAACGTTGACTAAGTAATAGTTCCTGTGCCAGTTGGTGAACAAATGGAATTGCCTAAAGATACATAGTGTGAGGAGGTTGTCACCAGTTCTACATTTTAAAAAATGATTTCTCTGGACTGTTTTTCGTTAGTAGTAAAAAGTTTGCATTTTCATTCATTTGCTTCCTTATTCAATATTCATTTACTTAAGGCCAGTATATGTAAAACATTAAGAATCTTTTTGCTAATATGTTCTCAAATACTTATTATACATTAGATATGTTTAAAGTATATGTTATATTGTACTGTGAAGTACAGTAGAAAAACAACCAAATGGAGAGCTCATAAAACAATTATCTATGACTAATATTATCATAGATAATAGTAATTGACCACTAATAAGTGTAAACATACTCTACTAGAACTATAAAATCAAATTTACATTTCAACCCGGCACACAAGATCTTTCCAAGAATTTACTAAGCCAATATGCATTTTTTTCAATATGTATTTAAAGTCAGGTATGTTGATCCCTAATATCAAACTAATTTTACTGTGATGTCACTAGGAGCTCACTATTTTCTGGATAGTATCACCAACCCCTTGTTAACTTTAAGGCAAAAGATAGGGGTGAAATAATACAAATGAGAAACTTTAAGATATTTTTTTGAACTATTTGATGAAAGTATCCTTCATCTAGTAAAGACTGTTTTTTCTATATAATGTCCTCATGAATAAAAAAAAAAATTGGGAGATTGAGGGGCACCTGGGTGCCTCAGATGGTTGAGCATCCAACTCTTGATTTTGGCTCAGGTCATGATTCCAAGGTTGTAGGATTTAGCCCACATGGGGCTCTGTGCTAAGTGTAGAGCCTGTTTAAAATTCTCTCTCTCTCTCTCTCTCTCTCTCTCTCTCTCTCTCTCTCTCTCTCCCTCCCCCCCACCTCTGTCCCTCCTCCACCCCATCTCTCCCACAGGCCCCTGTGCACTTTCTGTGTTTCTAAAATTAAAAAAAAAAAATGAGATTGGAATATAAAAAAACAAAATAGCTATTGAGAAGTTATTCATAATAGTGATTTTTTTTCCCCAGAGCAAATTCCAGGATATGTTTTCTTTTCCTACTTCCCTTTCATTTGTCTACCCTTTTAATTTTTATTTAAACTTTGGCAAACTAATTCTATTTAAAGCTTGACAATATCCCCCTTAACTTTATGTTCTTCTTTTTACTCCATGTATATAGGAAAGAGGAAAAAATTGAATTGCCTCAGTTTAACTGAAAGGAAGGAATCTACAACAAAAGACAATGATGAGTAAGTTGTTTTTAAAATAATCACATACACGTGTCTTGAAAGAAAAGGGTCACATTTGTAAAAGTAATAATTTAAGAGAAATAATTTATTTGCAGAAATTAAAAAATAGTTTACACTTGAGTTGAAGTATTCTTTTTTTTTTTAATGTTTATTTGTTTTGATAGTGCACAAAAAAGTGCATGTGTGAACATGGCAAGGGCAGAGAGAGAGGCAGGCAGAGGATCCGAATCAGGCTCTGCACGGACAGCAGGGGGCCCAGTGTGGGATTGGAACTCAAAACCATGAGATCATGACCTGAGCCAAAGTTCAACACTTAACCGACTGAGCCACTCAGGTGTCCCTAAGTATTCTTTTTTCAAGAAGTAGAATACTTTGTGGTATATTTTACAGTGTTCATGTGATCGTGATATCTGATCTTAATTTTAATATTCATTGAGCCCAGTTTCCAAGCCCATAATTAAGAGACTAGCTTAAGGTAAAACTGAGGAAAATACCCTTTTCAGATTTTACATGAGTAGAAAAGTAATAAGTTGTCTGGGAACATAATGCCTAACAAATAGCTGACTCAAGATCTAGGAACACAGTGAAGCCAGCAGAGTAAGGGATCCAGAGGACCCTAGGAGACTTATATGCCAGCGTCCAACTATTTTCATATTGGCCAGCCAATGCTGCCTTGAATGGAGATACTGTCTACAAAAATCTACTTTCCACATACATTCTGGAAAGAATACTTACATCTATCCAGTGAGGCCAGAAAAATTGAATTAACCAGAACAGGGGGTTAAATTTTCAAAGTTGTTGATATGTTCAGCTCATTTACCCTTTCAGCTATATCGTCTGCATGCCACACAATGTGATGGATGGGTAAAGACAAAATGAAGTTTCTACCCATTGGGAGCTTATGGTCTTATGTTGTAAGTTAACATACCCTTCCAAACTTAGAAATAGGTTATAAGGTATGCTTCAGAATGTTTTTTTAAATCATTTGAGTGGAATTCATAATGCATTTTCCATACAAATGGAGTTGTAATTTGTGGTTATAACCGCAGAAGTCTATTTTTTCATAATGTAGCTGAACTATAGTATTAGTCTGGGTTAAAATATACAAAAATTGAGTGCCATTTAGAGTACAACAGGGACAAAAAGAAGAGTTTCTCAAAGAAATTTTCTTTTTTGGCATCTCCTACATCTATTGTACCCCTTTTATCTGTTCTAGCTGCTTTTCCTAGCCATGTTCCCCCAGCTACAAATATTTTCATGTACCTTGTCCCACAAATATTTTTGTTGTAAATTACTACTCCTTCCTTTCCCTAAGCAAAGTTCCCATTTCCTCCGAAACCAGTCTCAACTAGATACTAAGAGGCAAGCATTCTCTTTTTGTTTAACTTATATAATGTCTTTTAAAATTGCCAATATATACATACAGTAAAAATCTCAAATTGTCCAAAAGGACATACAGTGAGAGTAAGTGACAGGTAACAGTTTTTGAATCTTGTATAATCTTATTTTGAAAGCAGATACCTGCTTAACCAAATGAATTTCTGATATAATTATACGCAGTGTAACAAACTTAGAAGTAAAAGATCGTGAAGGAGGAAATGTTTTTAAATAACAGCAATACCGCGTAAGAAGCCAAACTTTCCTTTGCTTTTCTCCAAGCAGCTCTTCTTAAGCTGTTTTAACTTTTTATACTTTCTTCCCTTCCTTATTCTTCAGAACTCAATCAATTTGCTTATAGCTCCAGAATTTTAACAAAAGCTCTCACAGCAGTGAGCTTTCAAGTAGCCAGGGAGAAACAAGATCCCTTGTTATGGTTCACTTAGGAATTTGCCTATATTTATTTAATTTCTCTCAGTATTTATTTCTAAAGATCCCTGTTATTCATGTATAGCACTTCATGACTTGATACTAGAACTAGTGAACTTAAGGACAAGCCAAGATATTTACAATAAATAAAAATTATGGCTTGCTGATTGTTTTTTATACTCGTTATAAAATTACTCATTCCTAGTCAGTAAAGCCATTTACCGGCTTTAGTAATGGGTTCTTCATTTATTCCATTTGTTTAGATTTCTTTTATTATGTTGTAAAGCCATTCTAAAGACTTGGTTTTTTTAATATGAAATTAAATTGAACATTTCACATTTGTACATCAATGTTAAATGATCATAGCATTTTATATCTTGTTTTGGCAATTGTGTAGGCTAGGGTTATCCAGAGGAACAGAACCAATAGCAGATAAATATATGTAAGAATATAAAAACTGTCAATTAACAATTCATAATTCATATATATATATATAAAACATATACAATTTTAATTTAACATTTAATTTTTAATAAATTTAATTATTATATAATAAATATTTAATAATTTTAATATAGTATTGATAAAATATAGTATTTAATGATAATAAAATGGTATTGATGTAATTGTTAATAATTAAAATGTATTAATAATAAGTTTTATGTATATACTTGCATATATAGGGATAGATTGATTATGAAGAATTGGCTCATAAAATTATAGAGGCTAAGTCCCACCATCTACCATCTGCAAGCTTGAGACCCAAGAAAGCCAGTGGTGTCATTCCAGTTCAAGTCCAAGGGCCTAACAGCCAGGAGAGCTGATTATATAAATCCCAGTTCAAGAGTAGGAAAAGAGCAATGTCCCAAATCAGATAAGCAGGGAAGGCACCAAATCCTCCCTTCCTCCACTTTTTGTTCTATTTAGCCCCTCAATAGATTGAATGATGCCACCCACATTGGGAAGGTGGCCTATCTTACTTACTTACTTACCTTTACTAAGGTGGTTATACTGTGGTGATTCTATTATACTATACTTCTATTAGTCAGCCTTTTTAAAATTCATGAGTGAATAGTGATAAAGGTTTTTTCCTTGCCTTCCCTCTTTCCATATTTGCACCTTTTTTAAACAGTAGATCTTTGGCTCCCAACAGCAGCAATATATTTTCACATTTGCTTAATCATACCACATACACAAAATAGTTTCAGATTCCTGCAGTCAGAGCGCTACTAAAAACAAACCTGCAAAGCATTCAAGATTTGTTTGCAGCCTTTTTTTTTTTTTAAGGTTTTTATTATTATTATTTATTTCTGAGAGAGAAAGCGTGAACAGGGGAGGGTCAGAGTGAGAGGGAGAATCTGAAACAGGCTCCAGGCTGTGAGCTGGCTGTCAGCACAGAGCCTGACGTGGGGCTCGAACCCACGAACTGTGAGATCATGACCTGAGCCAAAGTCAGACGCTTAACTGACTGAGCCACCCAGGCGCCCCTTGTTTGAAGTCTTTTTTTGTGTTTAATACGACAAATTACTGTTCCAAAACCACTTGGATTAGTTCTTTAAGTTTTTAAAATTTTAATTCCAGTATAGTTAACATATAGTATTTTATTAGTTTCAGGTATACAATATAGCAATTCAACAATTCTATACATTAGTCAGTGCTCATCATGATAAGTGTACTCTTTAATCCCTGTCACCTATTTCACCCATATACCCATCCACCTCCCCTCTGATAACCGTCAGTTTGTTCTCTATAGTTATGAGTCTGTTTCTTGGTTGCTTTCCCTTTTTTTCCTTTGCTCATTTGTTTTGTTTCTTAAATTCCACATATGAGTGAAATCATACAGTATCTGTCTTTCTCTGACTGACTTATTTTGCTTAGCATTATACTCTGTGGCCCCATCTATGTTGTTACAAATGGCAAAATTTCATTCTTTTTTTGGCTGAGTAGTATTCCACTGTATGTATATGTGTGTACATCTTTGCCCATTCATTAGTCACTGAACACTTGGGCTGCTTCCATAATTTGGCTAATAATTTGAATTAGTGTGTTTGTATTTTGATGGTGAGAGGGGAGGAGGTAAATACCCAATGGTGCAATTACTAGATAGTAGGGTAGTTCTATTTTTAACTTTGTGAAGAACTTCCAAAAACAGTTTTCTACAGTGACTGCACCAGTTTGCATTCCCAACAGCAGTATACAAAGGTTCCTTTTTTTCCACATTACTTGTATTAGTTGTTTGTTTGAAGAATTAGTTATTCATTTGAAGTAGTTAGTTTCTCTTGTTCTGTTTGTATTCAGTTTAAATATTTTTCTCATCCTTTTTTATCTGATTTTACTTTTTAACTATGTAAAACATTAATGTATTCCAAAAGCCAAAACTTTACCAAAAAGTACATTCAGAGAAGTGTCACTCCCTGCCCCATTCTTTCTATCTACTCCCTGAAGGTAACCAAATTCATTAGTTTCTGGTTTACCTTTGCTATGTTTATTTTTATAAAATTGAGTTGTTTCATTTCTTTTCTCCGACTTCTCATTTCATACAAAGATTTACAGTGTATACTCTTGTATGCTTTTTGTTTTTCAATTATGTATATGTCCTGAAATGACACCCTGTTAATCAACTTAGCAAGTTACAACATAAGAATTCTTCCAGTAGGAAAATATGGTTCCATGTGCCAGGTTTAAATGTTTTTTTCCCCAGAAAACAAGCCACTAAAGCTCATTTATAAACAAACACCTACACATTAATATTTTATGTGAACTTCCTGGGGCTCCTGGGTGGCTCAGTTGGTTAAGCTTCCGACTTTGGCTCAGGTCATGATCTCACGATTCATGGGTTCGAGCCCCGTGTCAGGCTCTGTGCTGACAGCCAGCTCAGAGCCTGGAGCCTGCTTCAGATTCTGTACCTCCCTCTCTCTCTGACCCTCCCCTGCTCACACTGTCTCTCTCTCTCTCTCTCAGAAATAAATAAAAAACATTAAAAAAATTTTTTTTAAATATTTTATGTGAACTTCCATATCCTTTATATTCTGAAAGGAAAATATATTGTATAATTCACTGCCATTGGCTTTTCTTCCTCTTGGAAATTTGCTGCTGTCTGCTTTCACTGCTCTGAAAATGCAACAATGGTGACTGTCCTTCTATAGGGTTTATCTCCATTAAACTTTTTGTTTTCAAATTATAGATTCACATGC